CTATGGCTTGCCCAAGGTCATCCAGCCAGCTGCATGTGGAGGAGTGGGGATTCGGAGTGGGGATTCAAACCCGGTTCTCCCAGATTAGAGGCCACACACTTAACCACTGCACCAAACTGGCTCTCTCACAATAATGGGTTTAAGTTAAGGACGGGAAAGTACCAGCTGGATATTAGGAAAAACTTTTTTACAGTAAGAGTTGTGCAACAGTGGAATCAGCTGCCTAGGGAGGTGGTGAGCTCCCCCTTCAATCAGCGGCTGAACAAACACTTGTCAGGGATGCTCTAAACTGATCTTGCATTGAGCAGGGGGTTGGACTAGTTGGCCTGTGTGGTCCCCTCCAACTCTGTTACTGTGATTCCATCTCTCTAAAGACACAAGTCTTAGCAGTGTAGATCTTAACTTTTCATAGCTTTAGCAAATTTGGTTCTTAGCAAGCAGCATATCTTCATATAGGTGCTGTATAAGGCAAAGCAGATGACATGGATAGGAGTGGGGAGATGGAACAGGGGCAGAGGTCATTTCGGGGGGGAACGCGGGGGGGGGAATGCGGGGGAACGCAGTTCCCCCGGGTGAGGTGCAGGGGGCGGGGCACATGACAAAGCCCCGCCCCCTGCTTCCGGCCGCCCCGCTTCCAGCCCTCATTCAGCCAGGAGGAGGCAGGAGAAGAGGGAGGGTAAGTTGCTTCCTCCCCGCCTCTCCCCATCCCTGCCTGCCTGGGGCCAGGGAGGGCCTTGGTGGGGCTTCCTCGCACTTCCGCTGGCCTTGCAGGTCCACCGCCGAGCCCCTGATGTCAGGGGGTGTGGCATATGCTAATGAGTTATGCTAATGAGTTCCCCTAGCTCTTTTTCTACGAAATGACCCCTGAACAGGGGTAAGGACTGTGGCCTACCAGCATAGACTATATTTTATATAAGGTTGCCAGCTCAGGTTAGGAAATACTTGGAGATTTGGGGGTGGAGCGTGGGGAGGGGAGGGACCTCAGGAGGGTACAAGGCCATAGAGTCAACCTGTTGTTGTCTGGAGGTCAGTTGTAAAAGTGAGAGGTATCCAGGCCCCATCTGGAGGTTGGCAATCCTAATTATACAAACGCAGGGCAGCAACCGTCTTGGGCTATACTCTTTCAAAGGACTGCCTCTTCCCATAGTATCTTCGCCTGTAGAACTGCTTTCCCTTTGAGGCTCCCACACCTATGTTGCTCTTTTAAGCATCAGGCCCAAAAGTTTTTGTCTACCCAGGATTTCAAGGGGGGGGGCGCTGATCATTTAACACCATTTTATTCCGGAAACTGCTATTTTATGCCATCAGTGGTCTGGTTTTATGATCTACTAGCCTGACACCCATGCTTTGCTACGGTACTTAAGTTCCGTAGATCCAGTTATAATACTGATGATGTGAAGTCTGAAATGTAACATTTGTTGTAGGAATTCTAATGGAGAAGATTGTAGTGTAAGAAATGAAGTGAGACATACATACTGGTGTTTTGCTCATATGGAGACTGTGTTGTTCTGAGCACCTCAGGGTGATCTTGCTGGTACTTGGCCTGCGCAGCTCAGTGCTCCGCAGGAGTACTATGTGCAAATGTCTTTGCCGCATTCCTAAGTTGCCTCCTCCTTGTAGTGTTGGTGTATCTGGCTCGATGTTTGCCAGGAGCTTTCTTGGGGGCACTAAGAGGTGAGAGGTGTGAGGGGGAGTTGGTGTGAGGGAGTGGTAATGTGGTGGACATTTCTTCAGGTTCATGAGGGAGGCAAGCATCGAAATGGCTCCTAGAAATGTCCTTTACTATCTCCCCATAAACATTCGTTAACTCAATTGCCATGCTGGCTTTTTTGAAAAATATCTATTCAGGTGTCTTGAATAGTAGCTGATTTCTGTAACTGTCTTCAACTGTCTGCAGTCTCTTCTAACTGCGTTTTTACCTCAGAACATTGAGATCCACAGCTGAGCAGTCAGAGGGAGGTGGGGGCAAGTAGGAAGAACTCTGAACTACAGAATTGACCAATCGGGGAAGGGGGTGGGCAAGGAGGGAGCAGCCTGACAGCCACATGGAAAATAATTGTGGGAACACATTTTGCCCCTTTTTTACCCCCTTAGGGGTCATGTTTCTCAGAAATCTCTTCATGGGGGGGTTGATATCATGGTAGGAATGCACTCCCCTTATTTTGGGTTTCTTGGTACAGGGGTCTGGCCTGGGCACTGAATTTGGGGGGGAGGGCATACTCCCCCCCCCTTTTTTTTACAAAAATGCTTCGCATTTATTTTACATTTTAGAACTGGGACATAACTACCGTGTTTCCCTGAAAATAAGACACTGTCTTATATTTATTTTTTCTCAAGAAGACACACTAGGGCTTATACCACAAATGCATAGAAATCCTGCTAGGGCTTATTTTTTGGGTAGGTCTTATTTTCAGGGAAACAGGGTACATATTCAAAACATCATCTGAGCAATCAGATATTAAGTTCATATGAACCAGTTTTCTAGAACCCACATTGTGAGAAGTTAAATAACCTAATAAAGGAAACCAGTTTTCTACAAATTTGGGGTATATTTCCATTGTGGGTAGGAGAGTGGCTAAGCTGGGCCAGCAGCACTGCTAAGGTGATCCTGCTGGGGCAGCGTCCCTGATGGATTAAAGTACCTTGATCCTGCTCCTACCCCTGACAGACACCCGCCTATCTGGTGTTGGGGGGGATTATGTTTAAAGGCATCAGGGGGGCTGGGCCAGCAGCAGGGCTAAAGCAATCCTGCTGAGTAAACCTCCCTGGCGGCTGTAAGCATCCCATCTCCTCTCCTACACCTGAAAGGCAGCTGCCCGTCCAGTGTAGGAGGGGGGGGAGGAGTATTAGAAGCCACTGTGGAGGAGGGGCTGGCAGGATCTGCTGCACCTGACAGACAACCGCCTGTTAGGTGTAGGAGGTGGGGGGATTGTGTTGGAAGCCATCAGAGAGGCTGGACCAGCAGCATTGCTAACGTGATCCTGCTGGAGCGGTGTCCCTGATGGATTAAAGTACCCTGGCCCTGCTTCTACACCTGACAGACTGTCTGGTGTTGGGGGGATTGTATTAAAGGCATCAGGGGGGCTGGGCCAGCAGCAGGGCTAAGTCAATCCTGCTGAGCAAACCTTCCCCGGCGGCTGTAAGCATCCCATCTCCTACACCTGACAGGCAGCTGCCTGTCTAGTGTAGGAGGGGGAGAAGTATTAGAAGCCGCTGTGGAGCAATGTTCCCTCTAAGCTGTGGAGTTTCGTGAGCAAAAATTCTACTTTGTGAGTGACTGGCATTAAAGTTGTGAGTGAGTGATTTGGCTGCTGCATCAGTCAGTTTGCTCTGGAGCCATCCCTTCCTGAGCTAAGACAAAAATGTGTGAGCCAGAGGCTCAAAAACTGTGAGCTAGCTCACACCAGCTCAGCTTAGAGGGAACACTGCTGTGGAGGCAGGGCTGGCAGGATCACTAAGACGTTACTGTTGGGGTGGGCTCCCTCGTGGCTTTAAGCACCCTGCAACCGCTGCTACACCTTACAGACAACCACCTGTTAGGTGTAGGAGGTGGGGGGAGTGTGTTGGAAACCATCAGAGAGGCTGGGCTAGCAGCGTTACTGCACATCACAGGTGGTTGTTGGCCATTCCTGATTTCCTCAACTGTCATGAGCTCTCTGCAGTCTCCTGTAACTGTTTTTTTAACCTCAGAATGCTGAGCTCTGCAGCTGACCAATCAGAGGGGGGTGGTGCAAAGAGGCAGCAGTCTGGCAGCCTCATAGGAATCAATGGGAGGCACATTTTATCCCTTTTGACCCACTTAGGGGTCGAATTTCTAAAAATCCCTTCTTAGCATGGTAGGAGCACTTAGCACGGTAGGAGCATCTATGGCATGGTAGGAGCACTGTTCCCGAATTTGGTGTTTCTAGGTCCAGGGGTTTGGCCTGGGCATTGATTTTATGGTGAGGGGACTTTCTTTTATATATACAGAATAGATGTTTTGATGCTGGTGTGGGTTTTGCATGCTGGAATTTAATTGATATCTTCTAATGTTTTGTTTTTATTGTTTTTATTTTGTAAGCCGCCTCAGGCCGGTTCCTGGAGAGGCGGCATTAAAAATTTTATAAATCAATAAATAAAGTGTGGTGCCAGCCCTACCTGTACCGTGGGGAGGGGAGATAAGTGTCTGCGGAACGAGCCAGTGACCGAGGTTTCTGGTCTCTGGACATGTGGCCACTGTGTGCACCGATGGCCGGAGAGACAGATGAAAGTACTGCAACAGGCACACACAGGTTTGTTTGTGTGTTTTTTTGTTTTTTTAAATATTATTAAAGAACGCGATCGCTGCCCCACTCCGAGACTGGAGTCTGATAATTCTTAAGAGAGCAGTCAATCCTAAAAGAAATCAACCCTGACTGTTCCCTGGAAGGCCAGATAATGAAACTGAAATACTTTGGCCACCAAATGAGAAGGGAGCACTCACTGGAGAAGACCCTGATGCTGGGAAAGATTGAAGGTCAAAGAAGACGGGACGGCAAAGGATGAGATGGTTAGACAGTGTCATAGATGCAACGAACATGAAATTGAGCAAACTTCAGAGGAGGCGGAAGACCGGAAGGCCTGGCGAGATCTTGTCCATGGGGTCGCGAAGAGTCGGACTCGACTGTGCAACAACAACAAAAGTGTTTTGTTTGTAATTCGAATTTGTGCGGGATTTTGCATTCATCCCTAGACAGCCAGTCACCAGCGATTCTTCGGACTGCACTCGAGAACCCTGAGCGATCAAGCGGCCGCCTGTTCCCCTGCCGCGTGCCCTATTTCCCCTAATATGCGGCGCCCTGAGCAAATTAACCCCCCCACCCGGCCGACTGCCGCGTTGTCTCTATGAGCGGCGCATACACATCTTCCCTTTCGATATACCCCGCCCACGGAATTCCGGGATTCGAAGGAGAACGTGGCACAGCCAATAGGCAAGCTTCGTTGGGGGAGAGCCCGCGTGACGTCACACAAAACTTGGGTAGGGCCGCCGCTCTGGAGTTCGAAAAGGCTTTTTCCTCTAGGAAGGAAAGAAGGTGGGCAGGTAGGAAAGAAATGCGACCCCCTTCCCGTGCTCGTGTCTGTGCCCTTAGCGCCTCCCCGGCTTGTTTGTTTTCTGCTTATGGACCCGCTTATGGACCCTAAGAATAACCACGGGTGAGATGTAAACTAGAAAACGGGAGGGGAGGGGAGCCCCGGAGAACTTTGGGAGGTAAAGACCAGAAGTTTGTTCTTTTCGCTTAAAAAACTGCGCAGTCAGGTTTACCCGACGCCTACATTAACAACTCTTGAACACAAGTTTGAATCAATACTTTTCACCTGAGGTTTTATTATCCCTGTGCAAGTTTGTATTTCTGCGTCTTTTTAACATCTTGGAGTTTTTAAACTGGTGGGTTCTTGTGTCTGTTTTAGCAGGATAGTTATTTATTTAGTACATTTTTATGCAGCATGAGGAGCTCAGGGCCAAGTATGTTGTCCTCCATTTTATCGTCACAACAACCCTGTGAAGATAGTGAAGTAGAGAGAGTGAGTAACTGCTCCTAGTTCACCTAAAGATTGAGACTTTCTTAATGGTAGTAATGGTGAAAGGATTCCTTTGCCAATAAAATATTAGGTAAGCTTGGCAGTATTAAGGTTGCAATTAATGTTATTCCCTAGGAGAACATATATGCTTTATTGATTTGTAAACCAGTGTGGGGAATTGCAAATACCTGTAATAAGCCACTAGAGGAAAAAGCCTTTTCGAAGCCAAATAAAAAGTCAAGTTGTCAAATTAAAACCACACCTAAAATCCTTATTTGCAATTCTTCTTTCACGTGGCAGAAAGGATATTTGTAATCACCAGCCTGACAAGGAACTCACAAATAAGGCCAGCGATACTGCAGAGAGTGACAGTGAAACTGAAGCACCCAGGTGGCCTCTGTGAGTGCGAGCTAAATTCTGTTCAAATAAATGAGTAGACAGTCTAGGGTTGCCAATCTCCAGGTGGGACCTGGGGATCTCCCGCTTTTACAACTGATCTCCAGCTGACAGAGATCAGCTCCCCTGGAGAAAATGGCCGCTCTGGAGGGGGACTCTATGGCATTGTACCATGCCAAGGCCCCTCCCCAAACCCCACCCTTTCCTGGCTCCACCCGCAAAGTCTCCAGGTATTTTCCAATCCAGATCTGGCAACCCTAAGACAGTCACTTCTATGGTGTTTTATGCACAGTTCTTTGGGTGTGCTGAAATTGGTATGTCAGCAGTTTTAAGTGCCTTTGCAGTCTTTTTGCTGTTAAACAATGTAAGGAAAGTACATGCTATGTTGTATCTGAACTTTTGCAAGTGTTGGTGGTGCAAAGTGCCATCGAGTCACAGCTGACTTATGGTGACCCTGTAGGGTTTTCAAGGTGGCTTGCCAGTGCCCGCATCTGCCTCACAATCCTGGTATTCTTTGGAGGTCTCCCATCCAAATACTGACCAGGGGCAACCCTGCTTAGCTTCCGAGATCCGACGAGAGCCGGCTGTCCTGGGCTATCCAGGTCAAGACATTGCAAGTATCATTCCAATACAAACAATTTCCACATAAAGCTTAAAACTTGTTTGAATATAACGTTTAAACCCCACTTGATTCCCCCCCCCTCAAATATTTCAGTTCAAGCATTTATTGCTATTGAGGCATAAAATTAACCATTGGTACATAACTCAGTGTGAGTCAAAACAGAATTTTCTCTGGAAAAGCCACGCTGTTGGCAGATCAGGGACCCAAACTCTGCTGCCAGCTCAATGACGCCACCTCTGATGCCTTTGTCTCCACAGATGGAGGGGGACAGGCTCCCTCTACCCCCTAGTTCGGAGGAGCACTCGCAGCGGAGCAGCATCTCTTCCACGGGACCCCGAAGTAAGTAGGAGGGCTGGAGAAGGCAAGCACAGAAGGCACTCAGGAGACAGATGGACTTCCTAGTATAATGCTGGGAAGAATGGAAGACAGTCAATGTGTTCACAAGGTCGGGGCGGTTTAAAAGCTGCCCCCCCCCATCCCATGTTGAAAGAAACAATTGTAGCTCCACCTGTATCCCCTGCATCAGAGGGCAGCCTGCCACAGGCAGACCTCACCCCTGAACTAGCCCAGGGTCCTTTAAAAGACATCGCTCCTCCTGAGTCTGTGGTCCATCCTAAAAGGGGACACACAAACACACGTAGGAGCTTGTCTAAAACATGGGCCCTGGAGGATTTGGAAACAACATGTGTTTTGTCTATGTGCCGTCTGCTTCCCTCCCCCACAGGTAAGTATCATAAGAACATAAGAACATAAGAGACGCCAATGTTGGATCAGGCCAAAGGCCCATCCAGTCCAACACACTGTATCACACAGTGGCCAGAAATACCAGTGCCATCAGGAGGTCCACCAGTGGGGCCAGGACATTAGAAGCCCTCCCACTGTTGCCCCCCCCCCAGCACCAAGAAGACAGAGCATCACTTGCCCCAGAGTCCCTATCTATACCTTGTGGCTAATAGCCACTGATGGACCTCTGCTCCATATCTAATTTCCTTTTGAAGCCGTCCATGCTTGTAGCTGCCACCACTTCCTGTGGCAGTGAGTTCCATGTGTCAACGTTCCTGTGGCAGTGAGTTCCATGTGTCAACGTTCCTGTGGCAGTGAGTTCCATGTGTCAACGTTCTCTGCATTCCAGCACGTTCACACTATGGAGATCTTTCTGTGAAAAAGGCTCCTTTTGTCCCTCTCTCTCTCTCGTGTAAATACATTTCTCTACAAAAACAGCTACATCTTTCATTTACTGCTTCCATCCTGGGTCTTATTTCCTTCTAAATGTGAACAGTTCTCTGGGAAACCGATTTAGGCTCCCCTTCCTGAGCAGTTCTCCCAGGTTACCAAATGCTGTTAACTTTGAAGTATCAGATAGGATCAACCATCAGAACTCCATGCATCTTCCAGGATATACCCAATAGGGTGCCATCACACCTTTTGTTTAAGGTATGGGAAACCCATAGTCAAAGATTGGAAACCTTTTGGTTCCTTTGCTCAAACCCATAGCCCTGCCCCGCAGGATACCTTCTACAGTCTATAAAAAACGGCTGCCCAACCATGGTTCAGTGTGTCTTGGGTACCTTACAGATTACACCCCCAGACTCACAGTCTGGGCCCCCTTTGTTCATGATACGCTGGTTGTTCACGATCTCCTTCCATTGGAGTTCAGCACATCTGGATTTGGTAAAGATTGCCTCAAAAATCCCTATATGTCTCTAAGCGCCTCTGTTTTGCTGTAGCCTTGTATGCGTGTGCATTTTGATTGCTTTGTGTGTGTGCTTTGCTTTTAATCAGTAGTTTTTCAATAAAACATACAATTTTTTTCAACCTTAGTCCCTATTGTTTCTCTCCCTGAAACTGACCCTGGTATACATAGGTTTAAAGACACCCCTCCCCCCATTACACCTATTCTGCCAGGTCTGTCTCCTAATCCCCCAGTCTAAACAAAAACAGGCACTTTGGGTAACACAGTGTTTAATTATCAATGCCAAGACTTTCAGCAACTCTGGGATTTTATTTTTTTGTTCCCTGGGTGGTGGTGGAAAGTGCCGTCATGTCGCACCCGATTTATAGCAACCCTGTAGAGTTCTCAGGGCAAGAGATGTTCAGGGGTGGTTTTGCCATCGCCTGCCTCTGCATAGCAACCCTGGACTTCCTTGGTGGGCTCCCATCCAAGCGCTAACCAGGGCCAACCCTGCTTCGCTTCTGGGATCTAACGCGATTGGGCTAGCCTGGTTACTCTGCACTGAGACAGAGAAGGAGGAGAGGAATGCAGGGCTCACGGGTCCCTTACATAGTGTGGGGAGGGACAGAAAGGAAGCAGTTTGGGGAGTTCTTCCATCTCTGCACGAGGGAAGTGGAAGAGGAACTGGGGGGTGCCAGCTGTCTGTCTGTGTTCTTTCTCTCCCAGCTCTGGATGTCGTGGTGTACCTGATCAATGACACAGAGGTGCGGCTGACAGTGGACAACCTGCCTTCGGCCACTGCCCTTGAGTTACATCGTCTTGTCCGGGATGCCCTGAGGCTGCCAGAATGTGCCCTGGAGGTCTTTTCTTTGTGGCTGGTCTCCCCTTTGCTAGGTGAGGCTCTGGGGCTGAAGTCCGCCTGCCTTTCTTCACAAAGCTCATGATGTATTGGACCAAAGTGGACGCTGGATTACACTGTGTGTGTGTGTGTGTGTTAAGTGCTGTCATGTCACTTTCGTTTCCGCCTATGGCGACCCAGTGAATTAATCAAGATGGGTATCTGTGTTAGTCTGTAGCAGTAGAAAAGAGCAAGAGTCCAGTAGCACTTTAAAGACTTAACAAAATACGTGTCAGGGTATGAGCTTTTGTGAGTCACTGCTCACTACTTCAGATACAGCTAGAATGGGACTCCATTTGTCCTATTTATTGGAAAGTGGACTGATTTCAGATGCCAAATGATATTCGCAGGCAAATGACAATAGCAGGTGAATGAAAATAGTAGGCGTGATTGGATTTAGGTGAAATATGCAGAGGGATAATAGGTGTGGAGAAATCAGCATTGGTAATGAGACAGAAAACCTAGGTCTCGATTCAATCCAAGTAGAGCCAGTTTGGTGTAGTGGTTAAGTGTGCGGACTCTAATCTGGGAGAACCGGGTTTGATTCCCCACTCCTCCACTTGCACCTGCTGATGTGACCTTGGGTCATTCACAAGCTCTGGCACAGCTGTCCTTGAAAAAGAGCAGTTTGTGTCAGAGTTCTCTCAGCCCCACCCACCTCACAGGGTGTCTGTTGTGGGGAGGGGAAGGGAAAGGCGTTTGTAAGCCGCTCTGAGACTCCCAAGTGAAGGGCGGGGTATAAATCCAATCTCTTCTTCTCTTCTTAGATGCATTGTCTTGAGCTTCATTATCAGTTGCAATTCAGCAGTCTGTCTTTCTAATCTCCCTTTGAAATTCCTTTGTAAGAGAACTGCTACTTTTAGGTCAGCAACTGAATGTCCTTGAAGGTTAAAATGTTCCTCCACTGGTTTTTTAATGTTGTGGTTCCTAATGTCAGCCTTATGTCCATTAATTCTTTGTTGAAGGGACTGGACTGTTTGTCCAGTGTAGAGGGTGGATGGGCATTGTTGACACGATGACGATGAATTAATGACCTCCAAAATGTCCTCTCATTAACAGCCTTGCTCGGGGCTTGCAAACTGAGGGCCGTGGATTCCTTTATTGCGTTAATCCATCTCATGTTGAATCTTGCTCTTTTCCTGCTGTGTAATTTGATCATGCTAAGCCATAATAAATTTTGTAAGTCTTTAAGACAGAGATTGCCAACAGATAGCTCGTGAGATACCTGTAGCATGCTGGCCAGGGCGGAGTAGCTCATGTGTTCCCAGAAAAAGATGTCTAAAAGATCTACTCTGCAATTCTTTCAAAGTTTTTATTTCATAGGCTTTTCTGTGCTGCTTAGCTGACAGCTTCATTTCTGGTACTCTTCTTAGTCCATGTTCTGTTTCTAAAAGAGAATTTTTTTTAGTAATCCTGTTGCTGGAGAAGCAGCTCAGGATATTTCATTGCTCGGAAGCTGCTGTTATTAAAGAAAAGGTCGATGACCCCTGCTTGAAAGTGTCGTGGGACTTCCTTGTTGTTCAGGCTGCAGCAGTAGCTCCCCCTCTGGAATATATGGCTCGTTATGTTGCTGCTTCTGCCCTCCTGGGCTTGTAAGCCATGGCTCCCCCCCAGGAAACTCTTTTCACTGCCAGCTAGTGATATAGTAATGCTTCTGACAGCAGGTATCCAGTGCCGTCCTGTTTGTGAGAGTCAGTTTGGTGTAGTGGTTAAGTGCACGGACTCTAATCTGGGAGAACGGGGTTTGATTCCCCACTCCTCCACTTGCACCTGCTGATGTGACCTTGGGTCAGTCACAAGCTCTGGCACAGCTGTCCTTGGAAAAGAGCAGTTTCTGTCAGAGCTCTCTCAGCCCCACCCACCTCACAGGGTGTCTGTTGTGGGGAGGGGAAGGGAAAGGAGTTTGTAAGCCGCTCTGAGACTCCCAAGTGAAGGGCGGGGTATAAATCCAATCTCTCCTCCTCCTCCTCCTCCTATTCCTATTCTAGGAGAGCCAGTGTGGTGTAGTCAGTGTTCCATTAGGGCCAAAGAGATACAAAGGTTCAAATCCCAGTTCAGCCTTAGGGTTCCCTCAGGGGCCTATTGGCCTGCCATTGTTTCTCAGCCTAGCCTGCTAACCAGGACTGTTGTGAGTGTAAAACAGACAAGGGGAGAGAACCTCATCCCCTTGGAAGAAGGATAGAATGCGGAGGGTGACTGGTTTGTCATCCCATAATGAAGAACATGCACAGAATCCCTTTCCCTCGCCAGTAAATAACGACAGTGGAGTTATGGGCCTGTGACTTCCAGCGCAGAGAGCACGAAGGCAGTGGTGATTCCGGGCCCTTATCACTTTGTCCATATCATGAGTTGTGTGCTTTCCATTGAGAACCAGTATAGTGTACTGGCAGTTAAGTCAGGAAGTCCCAGATTCAAATCCTTCCCCTTCCAAGAAAGTACTCATTGTCCTTAGGCCACACTGTCAGCTTCGCCCCCTCCGGTAATCTGCAATATGGGGATGTGATGCAGATCCAGTCTTGCGGAGATGTTGTAACCTATCTAGTGAGCTAAGCATAGACTCAAACACCATAAGGTTCCGTATAAGTGTGGGGGATAGTTCTCCAGAGGCATGCACCCTGCCGCCACCAATTGTACTGACCTTTATCTTTGTGTGAACTAACTTGAATGGGTGGGAAAAGGCAAGGCCAAGAGCCTGGTTCAGTGGTAAGGGTGTGTGTGTGTACAGGTCATTTTGGTTTCCCTTGCAGAAATCAGCTTGATACGTTTGTCTGAATTCCCTGGATGATTCTGCTCCTTGCTAGTTATCTTGTGCTGCTCTGCGCTGTATGTGGGAGTAAGGCTGGTGGTTGATCCTGGTTAGTGAGTCAGACCATATAGGTTATAGTAGTGCCAGTTTGCACCTACAGGGCAGTTGGCTTGCTGCCCCAATAAACCGGCTTTCCAAAGCTACCCAAATTCTGATCTTCAGTATTAGGGAAACACCATGCATTTCCAGATACTAGTATCAAACAATGGGTGTCGTGCTAACCTTTCCAAGAACGTATTCTGGCAACCTCGCTTATCTGAGCAGGGCCTGGTACAGGTGCCACCCCTCAAATGGGCAAAATTGACAACTGCCTGTATATATGGGCATTCTCTGGGGTGGTGCCCACCTTGTCGAACGGCCTGCCTGATGAGGTCAGGAAGGCTCCTGCCTGCCTGGCTTTCTGTGGATTATGCAGAACTGAATTATTCAGGAGGGCTTTTTTGCCCAGGTGATAGGACGATGCAGTAGAGGGGACAAGCTAAGCTACCTCTTCCTTGCAGAGCTATGGGAGTTCTTATTCTTGGCTCCTCGTGTCTTGTCCTTTTGGGGGGTGGGTGCTCCTGGGGGCCAAATAGGGTTGCCACCCTCCAGGTGGGGCCTGAAATTCTCCCAGATTTACAACTGATCTTCAGACTACAGAGATCAGTTTTCCTGGAGGAACTGGCAGCTCCACAAGGTGAACTCTGTGGCGTCCCTCCCCAGGCACCCTGTGCCAAGTCTCCAGGAATTTCCTGGAGTTGGAAGCCCCCAGGCCCTTGTCGAAGAAAGACACTAAGAATAATTTCCAAAGCTGTTGAATTCTTTATTGTACAGGAGAGAGCAAAGTAGAATTGTGAGCAGGTTATGTCTCCCAGGTACTTTTATAGTCCCCCAGATAAGCAGGCGCAGCTAGATCTTAAACATGGAATTTTCCAGTGAAACCGACCTCTTAGTATCTTTTTGTCTACGGCTGGCATGGATTGATCCAGACCGGTCAGTTCTAGTTTTGAGGGCACTTAACTTTCCCATCTAGCCTCCATGACTTCACCATCCTAATATGTCCGGCTCCTTTTTGCCTTCACACCGTTATGGCTGTTCTCTCCTGTCTCTTTTTGCAGAGGTGCAGCTGAAACCCAAGCACCAGCCCTACAAGGTTTGCCATCAGTGGCACGAGCTCCTCTTCCGATTCACCAGCGGCTCTGAGCACGATATCTGTGAAGGTATGGATGTGAGCAATGTTCTTTCCTCCGGGCCTTTCCCAACGCTCTGCAGTTTCTGAAACCTTACAGAGTTGGAGTCCGGTGATAGGCTGGTGGCAGTCAGGGTTCTTAAACTCGCCTCTCACTTACTAGGCGGGTGAATTCACCAACAGTCTCCACGGGCAACGCTTGCAGTCCTTGCTCTTTATCTGCCTGTCCCTGCTGCTGGGGTAGCAGGGGGGAGGGGAAGGATTTTCCCTTCCTGCCTCTGGCTGCTTCCTGGAGACCTGATTATGTGCAAATGTGTTGAACTGATAGCTCAGAAGGTTGCTGGGTAGGCCCGTTCTGAGCGCCAGCAAGCCTGGGCTCTTTTTGCCTGCGCAGACTTAAAAGGAAGGTTAAGATTTTAACCGTTACGATCTGTTTTAATGATGAATAGTCCAGTTGTATGTTTTTAAAAAACGTTGTAAGCCACCCCGAGCTCGCATTGCGTGTGGGATATAAATCTAAGTAAAATAAATAAAGAAAATAAAGCTGGGCTCGTAGATCACAGCTCTGTCTCCTTCTTTTGTCTCCCGTTGGCAGATGAGCCATCTCTGCAGTTGCGAAGGAACGTCTTTTTCCCAAAGAGAAAGGAGCTGCAGGTATGTTCCAGGTTAAGTGATGGGTAGATATGTAGTGGTGGGGTTTTTTTTATAGAAACACGTTCCTGTAGTTGAGGATTTTTGTGTATCCACTGTACAGAAAATGGTGCCACGGTCTGGCATTGCTGCTTGCCTTCTCCATAGACCTCTGCGTAGATCTAGTACGACCACATCTCACAGAATGGAGTAAGGATGGCTGCGAACTGTAAAAGGTTTAAATCAGGGGTCCCCAACTCCCAACAAGTGGGGTGAAGGGCGAGCACCTTTGGAATTCTGACACAGTGTGGCGGGAGCAGCCACAAAATGGCCACCACAAAATGGCTGCTGCTGAAGGAGGAGCCTGCCCACAAAGCAATATTTTTAAAAACCTGCACAGCCAATCAAATCTCCAGTGATCAGTCTCCTGGCCCCTCATCCTTATACTAATGCTGAAGTTGCCCTAGGAGTGCGGATATCTAAATCTGCACTTCGGGGGCACCTGGGGGGCCGGGGGAGGTTTGTGCACACGTGGGCCAGTCCCCACGTGTGCACAAAAATAAAAAAAGTTAAAAAAAATTTTGGGGGGAAGTTTAAATCGTGCGGGCGGGCGGGGAAGACAGGCCTCGCTGACGACGACGACGCCTTCCCGGAGCCAGCGGGCGGGCGGGAGAGGGGCTTCGCTGCTGCTGCCGCCGCCGCCTCCTCCTCGGGGCCAGCCGGCGGGCGGGGAAGAGAGGCCTCGCTGCCGCCGCCGCCTCCTCCCCGGAGCCGGCGGGCAGGGGGGGGAGAGAGGCCTCGCTGC